TTAATTTTTATTATTTAATATAAATTTATAATAAAAAATATATTTAATACACTTTTTTAACTGATCACTGTCACTGCATACACAGGTTAGACTATGGAACTCTTTTCTTCGGGAAACGTAGCTTATCATCGTCCATCCTAAACGCGTTGTCACGTGGCAGACAGATATGGTTTTCGGACAGTCAAGTATCCCAGCCGCCTCGGTCGTCCCCTTGTCGCCGTTAACCCGCTCTCTCCTGTTCCGAGTCAACATTCAAACCCCAAAGTCACTTTCAAAGTTTCAATCTTTGTGAAATATTTTTTCTCTTCAAATTCTTAAAAAATGCAGAATTGGAACAGCTTGATACCAAAAGATCACCCTCTGGGTCTTCGACTTCTTCAAAACCCAACTAAAACTCATAAAATCAGGATTTGGTTTTACCAAAACCCACCCGCCCGCCGAATATCCGTTGACTATTAGCCATGACTGCAAATCCCTACCATCTGAACCCCCAATCCGCAGCGGAGAAGGCGGTGGCTGTCATCGGATTCGGCTACGACCTCTGCAACGACATCAGGTTGTCATCTTGCAAGCCGAGTCCTTCCGGAAGAAGATTGATCGACCTTAACTCAACCCAGACCAGGGACCTCGTTGTTTCCGACGGAATTGTTGTCAGGAATGTTCCCAATTCGATTAGGTGTGATAAGGGCGAGCGTACGAGGTTTCGGTCTGATGTTCTTACTTTCAATCAGGTATGATAGACTTGCGTTATTTATTTTATTATTATTATTATTTTAGAAAAAAATTTATCTCCTTTTGAACTGTTTGCATGCACTGTATTTATCTGTATGTTTATGGAAAAAGAAATGAATTTGAAAGATTATCTTTTAAATTTTAGTTCCCTTCTTTTTTTTAGTCTTTTAAGTGTGTTTATGCATTCTCCCTGAAATTGTAGTAATATGATCGGATCACAGGCACTTTAGCTGAATTTTGTGGGAAACTATGATCGTTTTTGGAAATTAGTTAAAGATGGGGGCTCTTGGAATTTTACCATATGTGGTTGATTTTGCTAAAGAAGTCTTAGGGGAAGGAGATGAGTATTGGAAGAGCAGGGGACTGGATTAGTTGTGAGGAGTAGTTAATACGTTTTTATTTTGTATTTTTATTATTTTATTATTTTTTATTTATATTTATATATATATATATATATTTTTTTTTGTGCTAGATGTCTGAGAAGTTCAATCAGGAGCTATCATTATCTGGAAAAATCCCGTGTGGTCAATTTAATGCCATGTTCGACTTCAAGGGATGCTGGCATAAGGATGCCACTTCTGTTAAAAATCTTGCTTTTGATGGTTGGTTCATAACCCTGTATAATGTTGAGTTGTCGAGAGCCCACATAACTTTGTCTGAGCAAGTGAAACAAGAAGTGCCGACTTCATGGGATCCTGCTGCCCTTGCCGAGTAAGTTATTTTATACAGTTAATGGAATTGTTTGACATTAAGGAGCCTTGATTCTTCAATATCAAGATCTCTAATATACATTACATGGCATTTTAAAATTGAAATGAAGAGTAAGACAAAGTGAGCTTTGCACAAGTTCATAGAAAACCAAGTTCAATCCTTTGATGTGCTGAGCCTGACTACTCTATGAAAAACAATAGTAACGTATTAATGGTTAAAATTGAATCTATTGTGAAACTATTTGTACTATATTTAAGGTTTCCCTATAACAACTTGGTAATATTGTATGGATTTTCGCCCTTTAGTGCCTTATGTACCATTTGCATATACTTAGCTGATAGAAAGTATGACTTAGTTGAGATGGTCTCATTTAGCTAGCAAGAGAGATCTTAATGAAACATACTCTCGATAGAAAATGACTAATTTTCTGGCTTTCTATTCATTTTTAATGATGATAAATTAATAAAAAAAGGCTGCTGTGCTGCAGTTATTATTTTAATCTACTGAGGAGATTATTTGTTTAAATTATTGACATTACTTTTAAGTTTTAACCTTGTTGACATTAATGACATGATTTTTCAGGTTCATTGAAAAATATGGTACTCATGTTGTTGTTGGGGTAAAGATGGGAGGTAAAGATGTAATACATGTAAAGCAATCACAAAAATCAACTCTTGAAACAACTGAATTGCAGAAATATTTAAAGGAATTAGCCGATGAGAAGTTTTCACAAGATTTAATCCCTCCTGAATTATCAAGAAAACAAAAGGTACTCGAAGAAAATTTTTAAAAGAACTCCCAAAGGATCAGCAAGTGTGAGAAATGATCAGTAAGCCCTTTTTCAAATCTAATCCATTTTATTGTTTTAGGATCAGCAATCGATGCCCTGGGATCTCCATGGAGTTTATGGCACATCAGTCAGGCCACCTGTCATTATTCGTTCCAAGAATGAGGTAAGTTCTTCTTCTTCTAAACTGCATCCCTGCAGAAGCTTTAAGTTTTGAGTAAACTGTTGTATATCTTGCAGGATAGGGTAAGCGTATTTATCCGAAGAGGAGGTATTGATCTTGGTCAAAGTCATAACCACTGGCTCTCAACCATATCACAATCACCTAATGTCATATCAATGTCTTTTGTGCCTATAACTTCCCTACTGAGTGGGGCTCGAGGCAATGGGTTTTTAAGTCATGCAGTGAATTTGTACCTGCGATGTGAGTTGATTAACTTTATACCGTGAGTTAGCTTCCATTCCAAAGTGTTGCAATTAACTCAGATTGATGATATTATGCAGATAAACCGCCTGTAGAGGAGCTCCATCAATTTTTAGAATTTCAATTACCTCGCCAATGGGCTCCTGTATATGGGGATCTGCCTCTTGGTCTCATGCGAAGAAAACAAGCATCTCCATCACTTCAATTTACTTTATTGGGGCCTAGGCTTTATGTCAACACTATGAAGGTAAATAATACATTGCATCACATAAGAATACTTATTGCTTTCAAAAGACACTAAAATAGGAGGAACATTTTTTCTTGCTTAGCAAGTGTAAAATTAAAAATGGGGATCAGATGACATTATAAATGACTTAAGGAAAAGGTGTTGTGCAGTTTGGACTATACCAAGCTGCACAACACTAACCATTGGTTTTGGGAGCCCTCTCCCCATTTAATGGTCCTTGTTTTACAATTTGGTGCAGCCTAGACTAAATGATAAGAAATCCTTTGAAACTTTACTTGTACGATTGATGATTATCTTGTTCTTTCAGAACTCAGGGGTTTGATATTGATACCCTTCTCAATTTTATCAAGTTCTAACGTGTTCAGCCGTTCTTAAATCCATAAACTGCAGGTTGATTCTGGAAATCGACCAGTGACGGGAATCCGCTTATACCTGGAAGGCAAGAAGAGTGACCATCTAGCAATTCATCTCCAGCATCTCTCTACTCTTCCGCCAATCCTCCAACTGACAAATGATCACTCTAATGGACCAATAGATGAGCCAGTCAAGCATAGCTACCTCGAACCTGTTAAGTGGAGCATATTCTCACACGTGTATACTGCTCCAGTTGAATACAATGGAGCCCACTTTGATGACTCTGCCTCTATTCTGACGAGGGCCTGGTTTGAGGTTAAGGTTATAGGGATGAAGAAAGTTCTGTTCCTGAGGCTCGGATTCTCAACAGTGGCATCTGCTAGGATCCGTAGATCAGAATGGGATGGACCAACAACCATGTCACGGAGGTCAGGAATTTTCTCAATGTTGATCAGCACAAGGTTCAGCACTGGATTGCAACCACCTGAGGAGAAGCCAGCAAAAGTGGTTTTAAATTCAGCAGTTTACCCAGGAGGCCCTCCTTTACCTCCTAAAGCGCCAAAATTGTCAAACTTTGTGGATACAAAGGAAATGGTGAGAGGACCTGAGGACCTGCCTGGGTATTGGGTGGTTACAGGAGCCAAACTCAGCGTAGAAGGTGGCAGAATCTCAATCAAAGCCAAGTATTCATTGTTAACCATAATGTCGGAAGACACTATTATGTTGATGTGAGTAAACGTAGTGTTGATTACATAGAATTCGTTTGCATTGCTGTAAATGTGATACTGTACATTTTCTTCGTGAACCGAACAATTTCACAGGATCCATGTTGTCATCAAGCTTTGCATTGGTTTGAGATTTCCCCACTTCTTACCCCATCACTTCTGTGCATGAGTCTGGATTTTTGTCGTTAAAGAGCCCAATCATTGTAACTGTACCCGTGGGCATTGGCCCATCATGTATATCTCGTCTCCTCAATTTCTAAGAGCAACCCAAAAATTAGTGGGTGGCGTTGAATATGGCACACTGGCACCAGTACCCTATATGAGGCCCGTTTCAGATAACTTCTGTAGAGTTCGATATGGTTTTAACTGTGTCATATACTTTCTTATGGTTTCTATTTATCAAGGAGCCCCAACGCTAGCCCTCTTTAATTTCGTATTCTTCGTTTCAGCTATACTCCGAATATCTGATCATGGCTAAACTTACCTTCGACGATTACCTCATCGCCTATGCTGCTGTGCTAAGCCAGCTTGACGCCACTTTCCTTGTCGTCCAGCGTGGCAACTGGGGGAGAAAATTTTCTGGGGCGTCCCAATGCATGATTATTGCAGGAATCACCATCATCTTTCTCATTATTCTGTATTTTATTCTGAGAAGCAGACCGTAGGGACAAGTCGGGTATCAGTTGCACTCCGTTTTCAAGATGATTACTTCTGCTTCTGCTATAACGTTGTGTGTCCTGATCAATCAGGGTTTCGAAGAGCATACAATTGAGAAGCTATGGGTTTGTGCGTCCGTTTGCATTTGTGCTTACTGTCTCATCGAGCTCATCCGGACAGCCAAGCCATCGGGTATGATTCTGTTTATGTTTCTGTTGTCTTCTGCCATCGATAAGACCGAAGGGCATCAATATTGGAGGATTGTTTTTAGTGTTCTGTTGGTTGCAACGCTTCTCTCGGTGTCATTCGGACAGGCCAACCTAAGGAGGGAGGCTGTAACTGCACCAAACCAGAAGTCCTTCTTCAGTCCGTATCTGCACTCTGGATTGACCTGCAAAGCCCCGAGGTGGATCCTCGAGATAGACACTCCGATGCTTAAGTCAGCAATAATCGGGGCTACCTTTAGAGCGGAGAAACAAGGAGCTTAGGGTTGGTTTCAATTACCTTTTCGTCATGGCCCTTGGGGGGTATTTATAGGTTTCAATTAGGAACCCACATGGCATGCCAAGCAAGATATCCGGGATCTGATGTGTATCTCCAGACGGCAAGATATTCGGGATCTGATGTGTATCTCCAAACGATTAATTTGGGACCGAGAATTTGAGAGATATTTAGATGCACGGATGTCCATTTATAAAGGATCAGATACAGACATGCCTGCTGTTGTTGTCATGCAACTGTTTGAGAAGGAACCTTTGGATTTATCCTTTACTTGAGCAACAAGGGTATTTACTGTCGTTCGTCCAAAGTTGAGCATCTCGAACTTGCCCTTACA